GTAGGGGGTGTATTATTATTGAAAATATGTCAGATAAAAGAGTAAGAACACAAAGAAAGAGAGAGAGAGAGAGGGGGGGAAGGACTTTGAAAAGAGAGCACGGCTCCTTAGTACGGCAGAATATTCACTCCTCGTAAGTTTCCGAATTGAAATTTCAATTCCAGCACGTTCCATTTGTTAACAAAATTTCAAAACTGACTCATAAATAAGACGATTAGAAATGCAGTCATCGAAAAAAAAAAATGTATCATCAGACAAATAATGACAAAATTTAAAGTGGTTTTGTGCCCATTTCAACTCAGACTTAGGTTTTTTGCGAAAGGTCAATTACTCATCAATGATTTTAATGCAGAAACGTTCGATGTGTCTACCGTAAACTTTGTGCAATTTTGATGGAGATTATTTTAGATTATTAATACCTAACGTTGTACTTAGTGGTCCATTCTGAGTCCGCATCCGCTTCATCATTTCTGAGGATAATAATTACTCTCGCCGTCTCGACTTGACAACAGAGCTCTTGAATCTAAATAAACGCTGATCTTACTCGATTAACACCAATAAAAAGCACAACAAACAAACGAGCTGCCATGGCTCATTCAGTTGAATAAATCTGTTTGATCTTTAGAACGCACTCTAGCTTGCCAGCCACAGCCACAGAGACCCAACTTCCTCATCTTTACCAAGAACTAGAAAAGAAAGCAGTTCGGTGCACCTCTGGTGCCCGTTTTGATTAAACTCATTTGTTTCGAGAATACACTGGAAATAAAACACATTGGATCTACAGTCCAGACTCTTAAGGTTAATCTTCAGCTGTAGTTCCGAAAAAATCCACCACGTCGCGCTGCTAAAATCCGACTCCGAAATCAGTGATTATTTAAATATCACAATAGGTATCTTAAATTCTAAGACTCATAAGTTCTAGCAGCATACGTCTGGAATCCTTAGAAACAAACGCGAGCTTTGAAAGTCTAATAATAAAAGCTGTAAATTGATCCCAGTTTCTCTTACGGGATATCTGTAAGTGCGAGAGAGACAGCTCACGGTGGGAGAGAGATATCTGCCAACTGCTGAGAGCGATCAAGCGCGATTGGTTGCATCAAGGTCATCATGCTTAACCCTACTTTTTTCTGGGATCAAATTGCAGAGCTTCAGAAATGACTTTTCACGTTGTTTTTAGGGTCAATAGGAAGAAGAATGTTATAGCTAGAACTTATTTATCTTCGATTTAAACAGAAATTCCTTCAACTTTTATAAAAGCTCAAGGACTCACGTGGTGCTGTACGGACTCTAAAACACAGCGGTGGCGCCCCCTGCGCGGAGAAATTTCTTACTTCACGCAGCTGTAGATACACCTTAAAAACATCAACAAGAAAAAGTACTCTTGATTCAATCAGAATCTAGCTTAAATCAAGAACCAAGCCTCTTAATTTAAGCGGGTTTCGTTTTGATTCAAGCAAAAATCCGATTGAATCAAGAGTATTTTTTCTTGCTAATGTTTTCAAGAGTCTGGACTCTAGATCCAATGGGTTTTTTTTCTAGTGTATACGTATGGTGCGATTCTCAGGAAAGAACCTCAGGTCATTCTGATATTAAGTTTAGAGGGATCAAAAATGTGATTTCAGGCCTGAATATTGGTTTATTTTCTCTTATTCTTTCCCTTTTGTATATACATCCTCCAGAATTGGTTTAAATTCTAAGTAAGTAAGTAAGTAAGTAAGGCCGGGCTGGCCGGCGAGGCGCCCTCAAGGGGCCAAGGCAACTGGCAACTGCCGACGTGCACCCCGAAGTTGGACCGTACTCCTTAACTTATCTTCGTACTATTGACACATTGAGTATCAATTATATTCCCGCAAGGCTCAGCGGCCGTCTGATAGCCAACGGAAGGTCTTATCAAAGACTGTGGCAGACGCTGCAGAGCACGGACTTTCGGAGCACGGCCATGCCTCCACCGAGTTGGACTGTGTTGTTGCTATCTACACTGATAGGTAGCGCTGGCAGTCGCGCACACTACGAGTGATTACCGATTTTACACAACCCAGTCGAACAGTGCAGACGGATTACTTACTGGGTGACTATGTCCCTCCCGCACCCTGTAACCTCGAAGGGTCAGGGTATTGGAGTGGCATAGTCATCCACAGTCACGATGACTGATATTTGAGTGTCCTCAAATATCAGTCACCTCCGGGGATTGAACCCGGGACCTCAGTGTTGGCAGCGAACTGCCTTGACCACTACACCACTGAGGCTGACTGGTTTAAATTCTACAATTATTCGATTGCAATTTGCAATTTGGAACTATGATATCTGGCTCATCCGTAAAAACACTTAAGTGCATTCGGAATCTAAAATGGTATATTGTGTATATACGTCTTTTCTAAACTGAGGCAGGTATTGTAGCTCCAAATTGCATAATGCAGATCAATCAGGAATTCTGATATCCAGCTCCTTTTAAACACAATATATATGTGCCGTTAGTTTCCATATACAGATACGTAATTTTGAAGATGAGTCAGATATGCAGTTTACAATTGCAAAATGAAGTCTAATTATCTAAGCGAACCAGTCAGATAACTTAACGCACATAAACTCTCCGTGAATTCACCTACAGTTATGAAGAATACATACGTACTCACAAAATTTCAAAAATTAGTGTTGCCTAGTCCTCCTTTTGAAAAATAAAACATCAAAGAAAAAAGTAAGGGGCAGCTCATAAAGTTCGTAACGCTCTAGTGGAGGTTACGTTATTTATACTCTATAGCGTTACGTTATTTTGGTTTTACAGGTTATAAGTCATGCACGGACCCATGTCGCACAGAATCGTCACGAGGGAGGAAGGTATGTCGAAAAATCTGCAATTAAGCGTTACGTATTTCGATAACGTCCGTAAATGACCACGGTAAAAGCTCTCATACGAAGTTTTTGTATTTCCTCTCTGTTTCAATCAACCTAGTAAAAATAATCCTCAACAGAGAGTGCTAGTTCAAGAATTCATATTTATATCAGTGACACGGATCACCAGGTTGGTATTGTACCATATATTGAAACCTGAGAAAATACATCGATCATACTTATTATTCATGGCTATGCAATATTGATCCATTAAATAAACCACCAGCACAAAATCAGTTTTCTTCCTTGATATTGCGCAAGCTCCTGGCTTTCAGGAGCGGAGAAATCTCCCTCTCGAAAAAAATCATGATATGCAGGATGTATGCATTCGGAGCCTTGCACCATAACTCAGCTCTTACTATGACCAAACTGTCCTCGGAGGCAGATATTTGTCAAAGGAGCCAGGCTGATGGAGCGACGGGACGTTCTTTCCCTCACTCACACACACCTACACACCCTGCTCCCCCCTTACCCCTCCCCCGCCATTTGGCTGGCCCTCTCTTTCTATTCATCGGAACTGTGGTTATACGGCGAAAAGTACAAGCTTGGGATCACGAGCAAGAGTTTTGATTCGTGATAGATTCGCGCGCGTGCTCCGAGTCTTTCGATCAGACCGGTGCGATATGACCTGATTCGATATGCGATTCGAATATCTTCCTATCTCGTGCGGGTTAATAATCGAAATTCGATACAGGTTGGGCCGAGAGAGACAGCATCGTCGCGTTGCACAAGTCCACTTGATGATACGCGCAGTCTATCGTTTCGACTGGTAAAAGCTCACGGCTCGACTACATGTTTCCTGGCTTTGTAATTCTTCCAGCCAAGGCTGCCAGTTATCTTGGAGACATATCTACGTTTATTAGCTCTGCGGTTTCTTTCTAATTTCCTTTCTTTGATTTGAAATTGGACGAGCAGCACAATGAGTCTCTCCGAAGGTATGAAAAATCGGGTGCCTGGTAAATTAGTATTTTAGAAGGAGAAAGGGGTGTCCTCATCCTTGAGTGGCCATCAGAATCTCCATTGATTCTCATGGGGGGGGAGGGGGGTTGGATGGAGGAGGTCATAGAAGGGAATCAAAAGTCGGATTTTAGTGAATTTGCTACCTTTCATTTTTATAGCAACCATTTATATATTTTTCAATATATCTTAACAATCGCCCGTTTTGTGTGTAATTGCATGAGAACTTATAAAACCTACCAAGCTGGTTTTCAAATGGTCCCGCCGGTGTAAGACCGTCTTTGTCCGTGCGGAAAAATTAACTTTGAGGAAATGCGGAATCTTTTAAAAACAGTCATGTTGATTTTTTTGTACGTGTAAAATATGATTTTTATTGCTTTCTTCAAAGACAAATACGCTATTTTTTCCCACTCTTTCTAGCGGAGAATTTGGAGGAGATAAATTATAAAACTTTAAATTTGTAGTTTTCTTTTTCTTAAAATATAAATATCAATTACCAATTAGAGTTACATACCTACATTATTCAGGGATATTCGTATCAGAGCCAGTTCAATCAATCCTGCGATAAAATAAATCAAAATTTTAAGAGAAGCATAAGTTAAATAACTTACACGACTTAACAACTTTAATCAAAATTCACGTTACTAAGCAAACATTTTTAAAAAATCATTTAAAGAGTAATTTGTAAACTTCACATTGTTTTAAAGGTAAAAAATTGCGGTTGTAAAGTTCCAATTTAATTTATTTTGGATTTATATTAAGTTGAAAGGTAATATACATATAATAGCATTTAACGATATAATATCTCTCAGACTTAAACTCATTCCATCGGAGATGTATTTACTGTATTACAAAACTGCAATGTTTTAATGGATTACAATTTTTACGTTGGAATAAAATTTAATAACGTTGCAGATAAGGATTAAGTTTCACCTCACTTCCTGAATGCGCACTTCTGACTGAATGGGCGCCAAATTTCGTGAATGAAAGTTCAAAATACTATCACCCATGATCGTCCGAATTTTGTGGGTCAGACTGGACGCTCTCGAATTATCAATGAGCAGTTCAGACCTATCAATGCGAAAGTAATTGGAGTCCAAATTTGTCTGGTGGGCAAGCCATCACCTAAATTTTAACATTATTCATCCAAGGGTCTAGTAGAAACTATCGATACTTTCATTCGGTTCATCGTCCAGTTGTGTTTTGGTTTTCAGTTTGATTCTTAGTTCGTTCGGTAGTGTGAAGAAGGTGTGCTTTTTATAATGGTTTGCTGCAAGGTAAGTTTAATTGTTTCCTGAATCATTAAAGTGAGTTGTCTTTGTGTGCATGTTTAATAATAGCCAATATGTCTCAACTCCGTTGTATAGTAAACTCCTAAGATTTCATACGCCTTTCTTTCTGCCCAAGCGTTTAAGTCTCCGCGTGTGTGCGTCAATCTATCGGAAAGGCATAATAGAGATTCTTCATTTCTACGCCAGCAAAAGAAATGGGTTGCATCTCTGTTGCAATAAACTCCTGAGATCTCAAACGTCTATCTTTCTGTCCGAGCATTAAAGTCTCCACGTTAATTTCTCATGAGTACACATAGAGATCCTAGATCCGTACACTGTACGCTGAAAAATTTTACACATACGTATTACAATTTTCCTCGTTGATAATGATACTTGTCTCATCCTTTTTTCGAGCCATTTAACTATTTGCGTACAATGTTACGAATGTTTCAATAAACTGGTTCTGTATTCAGTATCGCGTGAACGAATTAAAAATTTATCTATACATTTTTTTTTTTCAGTTCGATTCTAGTTTCTCATGCCTTTCGAATCATTTGATTCTGAGTAGTTGTAGAAAATTCTGCGTTTGGCAAACTGCTTTAAAAAGAAAATACAGCTAAAAATAAACTATACAAGGCCTTGACAAAATATAACTGATAACGAATTGACATTTTAGAATGTTTTTCCTGGAAACTGCAGCTTTTAAACTTCAAACTTCAAACCAACGTAACTCCTATTTGACTTGGAATTTTTCGGTGTTTTATGAAACATTTTTCAGAGCACCACTTGATGCTCTGACATCGATAACGGAATTCTGAAATTTTGTGGACATAGGTCCCTTGCCTCGAAGGCGATAATGTGCAAAATTATTACGTAAAAAGTGTGAGTGGGAAAAATTCGTCACTTTTCGGCCAAAGTATCACAAGTGCCATGGTACGTTTAAAAATTCCCGTCACCATTTTTTTTTCTACAGATAAATTGTTCAACGAAGCTGTCCGAAAATTTCTCTGAATTTTCTTCGTGCTACCGATAAAATTCAGCGGAATTTTCGAACAGATTCAGCCAAAAATTTATTTGTAAAAAATAAAATAAAATAACATGTTTACACGTAGCATGGCGTTTGTGATACTTTGACCGGAAGAAGGCGAATTCTGGAAGTAAAAGACATACTCATTTTCCGCAACAGTGTCAGTTAGTAATATTGAAACGTAGCCAACCCGTTTCTTACTTTTTACTGTCCCATGTTTTTTTTTTTTTTTTGCTTGCAATATTTCTGCTGGCAAAACATAAATTTATTTTTTTTTTGTGGATAAGTCTGTAAATATGCATTTATGAGACAATTAAAGTTTATCTTTTAATTTTCGTAATCGATATCTGAATGGTGCTTTCGGAACTGCTCGTGAACATTATTGTTTAAACATTGCAATGAAAAAATCTAATAAAAGAATCTAGAAAGAATGATATAACTTTAACACCCTCTTCTTTCCACATAAGTCTACGTATCATCTAATTATTAAAAAAGTAAAAAAAATGGTAATCCTAATCAACCCATCTGAAAGAATTTTCACAATCCCTTTCAAGTCTCTCTTCAGTTAAGTTTTTAAGGTTTAAAACGAATCATCATACAATTAATTGTGCAGAGAGAGTGTTCTAGGTTCATCAAACAAATTCATATGCCTTCAAATACGGACTAAGTGATTTAATCTGCAGTAACGTACGTCTGGTTGCCTAACCTATCAATAGCGGGCGTATGAACACGGTTCTCAAATCAAATCTACTTTCTCCAGACCAGATACCAAGTGACTCAACTCATTCACTTGGTCTCTAATTCACCTACGATGAAGAGTTTAACTTGTGGCATACAACGAATTTGAAGGAGTTTTTTTTCTCGCACTACTTATGCTCTAGTGTGGAGTTGTAGACATGTTGACCCAACACGTTAAAGATAATATTGTACTAATTCATGATTAGATTGCAGGAATTTGCGGCGTCCAGGAATTTTCATTAACTTAGATTAAATAGAGAATCGATCCGAGCGCTGCACAGAGAGCGATTTTAAGAGAAAAAGGATAAGTCCAAAATCTGTAATTTTGAATTATGCATACATAATTGAATATCAACATACCCCCTTTCGGGCAATAGTATTCCCAAATTACCAGCACCCCTGAAAATTCCTCTTCCAAATATCAAAATAAAAATCGTACACGAATCAGAGAGGATATAGGTTTTCCTGGGGACGAAAGTGGTTTAAAAATGTGAAAAAACAGTTGAAGGATATTGCTTTGTTTGATACATTTTCTCCAAGTTCTTTCGCTCAAAAATATTTCATAATAAACTGGTGAAAAATCACAAAAATGAGATTTTCGTACGCATTGATAAATGGTGGGAAAACGGAAATACTTACCGCGTTGCCTTAGATTGGTAATATTGGTAATAAATAAATATTGGTAACAAATTTAATAACTAATACTGGTAACAAAAATACTACCAAAATTGGCTAGAAAAACAATCCGGCCTTTTTTTTGAGGCAACAAAAACTAGCTGCATCAAATATAGTTAAAGTATTAATCAAATCATAAGGTTGAAGGATTATAATTACTAATGAGCCTTATTTTTTGTTGTTTCAGTGCGTTTTGGTGTTAATCAGTCTTATTCACATTCTGACTCACACGTGAGTATTTAGTCAAATTTGTTCATTCATGTGTGACTTGAGATACACTCTAAAAATGGACTAAGTGGCCTCGTAGGCCGTTTGGACAATTCAAACTTAAATGAAAACATATTTCTTGTATTGATCAGATCTGGATACCTATCAGGCCGAATTTCAAGAATTTTTTTCCCCCAAGGGTAGCGATGCATCTGAAGATTTGGCGAATTTGATCAGATTTGAGCCATTGAAATTCCTCGATTCTTTTTGAAAAATAAAGGAGGTTTCTTTTAAATATAGACGGTGCAGCCTGATTCTCTCTTTGTAGCTTATTCATTCCTGCAGCTTCCTCTTCTATTCTTGTCGAAGTCGTAAAAGTTTCTTGGGTACGTCACCTCTCGATGTTTTTGAGACCCCTATAAAATTCACTTCCAGCATCAATGAGGGCTCACATTTTCGACCAATCCTATTTTCCAGGGGAATATTTCTCAGCCTTGGCTGCACAAAATGTTTAGTGAATATGTTTATGAGGGTTCTTTGAAAGTGCAGGTATGGGCCGAAGCCCACTTTAAAAGACGGCGACGTTGTTACATATATTTAAACAATCAAATCACTGTGCGGGAAATCAGCAACTGTCGCGATAAAACTCAGCGAGAGTTTATTTCATTACCACAGTATGTAACACAACACTTGAATTAAGTTATGGTGCACGTGAAACGAACACAGTACCCTTAGTTAGAATCGAATGCGACAAACACAATATACATTTTAACTCCTTGATGCAATTATTCGGGCTCCATGGATGTCTGTGTTGCATACGCTCGGGAGTGAAGGCGTTTTGACTGTCTAGGCACTCACTCATTTCACCCAAGGCGCAGCACAAACGGCAGGCTTAATCTGCGAGGATTCAAAATAGCAGAGCGTTTTTAATTTTTTGCTCTTACTGCAAAAGAAATCTCTTTAGTACGAAGGGTTGTATGAGAGCATACGATGTGAGAATTTTTTGTGCTGATCAAGAGATATGATCTGAGCACGATAGATAGAAGCTCCTTTAACGTACCTTAATGAGCCGTCCTTTGTTGTTGAATGTTCTCCTATCACATTTCACTGGCCATAAAACCGCAATAAAGTGGACCTCAAGCAGGACAACTTACCTTTTGCCTTATCTGTAACTTTGTGGTGCTACTTCGTTTAAATTTTAAAAAGGACACAAATTAGAAACCTTGCATCAGGCAAAACAGGCATAACTTGGTTAGATTAAAGTTTTGAAATCACATTGAAATCGCAACGCACGGCTAATTTTGAAAAGTCAAAGACGCTAACTTATATTCCTGAAATGTTTGTTAGCTGGTGGATTTTCATGACGAAGAAAATTTATTTTATCATCATTGAAGGGTTTTCATTGATGCACATGCATGAAACATCTCAGATAGCTTCATAACATTTGACTTAAAAACTTAGACATGATTGAGCATTATTGAAAGGTTCGCTTGATTGTAGTTTCCTTCAGAATGACAAGTACATTTGACCAATCATCATGTTCCTACCCTTTCCTTCCTTCTACCTGTCACAACTCTGAGACGCTTCAACACCTATGACGCCGGGAAAATATTCATCTCATTCTATCCGGAGCGGTTTATAAGTGATAATCTATTGAAAAACGATTACTTGTGCTATCGAAATTGAATTTCATGGCTGAATATCCTGTTACTCGATTAGGCATAAAATCACGCTTACGTAAGTCGTGGCATTTGTCAAACTGGCATCACAAAGCGACGATTGTCGATCAAACATCATTTGAAAATCTCTGCCCCACACCCCTCCGGCACACGCAAGGTGCTTACACGCGTGAATTGCGTAATGTTATCGTAGAATCTGGACCGATTACGCATGGGAAAACGCTTCAAATCATAACGTATAGAGCATGGACTGTGGATGAAAATGGGGCCGAAGAGAACGCAGAGGATTGGATTGGGTGTTGATTTTCCCCACTTTTCTCCATGTTGTCATTTCTCACTTCCTGTTTTGATGAAAATCGTTTTGATCGGATAGGCAGTACATCACGCCATCATTATTAAATTTTTCAGAGATTCTTCTTTGTGTTATGTTATTCTTCATTTTGGCTTTTGTTTCTTCTCTTCCTCTCGCTTATTCTTTCTTCTCCTACCCCTCCATTTTACTTTTCATCTTAACTCCTCTCGGTTTCCTCTCCTTTCTCACTTTCTCCCTATATTTTCTTCTTTCCTTAATCCCTACTATTTTCTTGTCCTTTTCCTTTCTCTTTCCTCCTCATTTTCTTCTTCGTCTTTGCCTTTCTCTTCCGTCTTTAATTGAATCCGGGGGGGGGGAGGCAGAGCCCCAAAATATGTGCACTTGAGAAGGCCCTGCATTTCAGCCGAAATTAAAACATTGATTAAGACGTGTCGCCAAAGATGAACCGAATTGACGAAGCCACAAGGTCATTTTAACAAGATGATGGAAGAAAGGCTGGAGAAAAAGATGCTCGATTGAGTTCGCCCTGGGAGTGGAAAACAAGCTGCTGGTTCCAACACTACTGTGTTGGAGAGCTCGCCTTTGGGAAACTATTAACAACTATTAATGATTTTTTCTGAAATTATATATGTAATAAATGAATCTTTACCCAATTATCAGAGGTTACATGCCGATGCAAAATGTTATGACGTAATTTCATATGGCAAATTTTTCACATTACAATGAAACCATATGATTTAATTTTAATTTTTTTTTTTTTAAATCAAGTCGCCAACTTGAATAAAGGTTAGGTATACTTTGATAAGCTGGCAGTCTGAAATTCTTAATTTTTATCGGCACAGAGTTAAAAGAAACTATAATTGAGCACGGTTCGGAGGAACGTTTCTGCCATAATTCTTACACAATACTTATGGTATACACTAAGAGCTGAAAAGGAATTCACTTGAATTTTAGCGTGGAGCTCGAAAGACCACGTCAAGCCTTTGTATGCGAGTGGCTCAATGGAGCACATCACGCCTTTGTAGGTATGCGGTGGCTCAATGGAGCACCTTGCGCACGATAAAAAGCATGGAGCTCGAAAAAGCACTTCATGCATTTGTATTTTAAGGTTAAAACGAACTCTAAAGAAACTCAATGCTAGGCTCAAACGAACTCTCAAGCATTCTTAATGCGAGGCTCAAACGAACTCCCAAGCATTCTTAATGCGAGGGGCTCAAACGAATCCTTAAGCATTCTTAATATGAGGTTTAAACAAACTCTAAAAGGATCCCAATGCGAGTCGCAACCGAGCTCTCAAGCATGCAATTATTTTGAGGTTATACCTTCTATGGTACCAATAACGGCAATCTTAAGGATTATCCATTAATTATGCGCAAATCTCAATCTTAGTCTTAGTAACTTAAAATTAATTGAACAAATTATTAAATCACGTCGAGGTCACCATGTTTTTTATTTTAAGAAATAATAACGATTGCAAGTACAACTGCACACAAAAACTGCATTGGAAAGATAAGAGGATGATAACATACAATTAGGTTATTTGCTATAAAACCATAGCAACATGCTATGATATGCTCGGCCACTGGAAAGTGCTGCTCTCTAGTGTAGCAAACGAGGAGCAATTAATCCTCAGTTGAATGAGGGAACGGAAATGTTCGACGGAGGAAAACTGTAACCCGCGAAAATTCAACTTTTAGACGTTGAAATCAATGGGATTTTGGCCGTTCCTCCGACGGCAAGGAGAACCATCCATTTGTCGCCACGGATACTACCAATGCTAAAAGAAATCGATCGCAAAGAGCTCTCCCGAGTGGGCGAGCTCAAAATAAGGGTTTCCAGTGAAAGGGTGATGACAGGGGGTTTCAATAAAATGAGGGGGTGCCAAGCTTTAGATCCCACGGGGAAAAAGTGTTAGGAGTTATCCCTTAAAATTGTGGTAATACCCCAGTTTGTTGGATGATATGGACATTTTTAATAAATTGTGGTGGTACAGCAATATTTTAATTAACAACCTAATTTACTGGGGCCCTACCACAAGTAATTAGAGTTTCCATACCACCCAACAATCCCTACCTTTTTTCCCGTGCCATTTGTCGCTACTTGCTACCGCAGGGTCTATTGTTCAGTATCGTCCTCATATCACTGCACACATTTTTTTCGGTGAAGCAAATTCTAGGTGGCGGAAGCTACCCCGGCCCAATCCTAAAAAACTCCCCCCAAAAAAG